GGGGAGGTGGGGGAGGTAGAGGGCATGGGGAGGTCCTGGGGGTAAAGCATTTGCTATGCAAACATGAGGCCCTGAGTTCAGATCCCCAGCACTCATGTTCAAAGCCACACGTGTAATTCCAGTGCTGGAGGTGGGAAGGGGGAATCCCAGGGCTTTGCCAGCCTGCCAGCTTAGTCAGTATAGGAGGACAGCGGTAGAGAAAGGACAGCTGATGTCAGCCTCTGATCTCCACACGTGTGTACACATGCACAGCACACACACGCACACACACATTCACACACATTCACACACACGCACACACACATGCATACACATACAACATATACGTGCATGCACACACATGCATACACGTGCGCACACACCACACACACGTGCACACACATGCATACACACACCACACACACACACACACGTGCACACACATGCATACACACACCACACACACACACACACACACGTGCGCACACACACATGCACACATAGACACACACATGCACGCACAGGACACACTGTGGGAGGGAATTAGGGGGAGGGGAGAAAAAGATTGAGAGAGCCATGAGAAAAGCTGTAGTTATTTTTCTACACACCTCTTAATCTGTCATTTTTCTGCAAACCACACGGAATGCCACAGAATCTCAAGGTCATAGCTTTGTAAATAGGTGATGCCATCCACTTTTCAAAGCTTTCTAGATCTAGTTTAGGTTTCTAGATTAAAACAAATTCCCGCTCATCTAATTCATATAAAAGGAAAAAGAATGAGGCAGATTTGCTTTCTTCATTTAAATGTCAAAGCAAGTACTATGGCTTTCTTTTCTTACTTCTTCCAAAGGAAAAGCATGAGGCACGGAACTGAAAATCTTGATTTTTAAGAATTTGCCAGTCTCACGGGGCTTCCCCTCCCGGTCTGTAAATCCCTGCTGCTGCTGGGCGCTTACCTGGTTTGCTTGCTCTTGGGTCAGTCGTGTTCCCTGATCTGGAGATGTCGTTGGAGGAAATCCCAGAGTGGGGCGAATCTGCTTCTGTGAATATAAGTATTTGATAAAGCAGGAGGGACGCATTTGAGGTTTCGGATCCTTTTAGATCAGGAAGGTAACAGGTTGTCCCCTAAACAACGATATTCATTTAAACTCCATGTCTTTTGGAGCAGTTTTAAGTCCTCAAGACATTTTAAGCTTGGCTGGATTTAGAGTCGGGGACTGGGAAAATGCCAGGTCAAAGGGTGAGGCAGGCATGGGGGATTCCAGCGCTTGTCTCCAGCTCTCATTTATTTACAGCAACCGTTCTCTCCTCTGCTAAGATTTGTGTTATCTCTGAGTCATAGTTCTGTGCACATCTGCTTTTATTTTTCTTGCAATATTTGAATTAAACTACAAGTTTTTGAACCTTCCCACATTTGCCTTGCATGTGACATGCCAATCTTGCAATGGAAATTCAGTCTCTTTCCTGGCTAGAATATTTACTTTGTATTAGAACTCGTCAAACTGAAGGGTGAAAATGACCTTGCCATACAGACGGTCTAGTTGTTTGGCTTTGTTTATATTTTGTAGGTGAGAGAAGACCTGTGCAAGGTCACCTGGTGATGTCAGAGTCAGTACTGGGACCACTGCAGCAACTCTAGTTCTGAATACAAAAAACCCTCCCCTGGGGTCTAACCCCAGAATGCTTTTGTTGCTGGATGCATCCCTGAGGGCAGGAAGGGTGGTCTTCTAGTGATGCCAACTCTTGGGCCATTTTTTTTTTTTTTTTTTGCCTTGCTTCACAGACTAAGTTTGCACTGAGAACTTCTTAATAATGCGTTGGTCATTCATATTTTGTTTCACCCTCTCTATTCATTTTTTTTTCCTCTAAGCAATGATTTGGTATGTGTAGCCACTGTGAGTTCCAGGGGAATCGTGCTCCCTATTTTGTTCTCACCACTGCATTTTTAGCACCCAGGCCACGCCTGCCATCTGGAACATTTCCAACTAGTCTGTTGATTGTGCAGGAGAGCACAGGAGGCCAGAAGAACTCGAGGGCTTCTTCCTTCCTTCATAGTAAACCTATTGCATTTTCCCTGTGTATCTTAAACATCTTGATCAAGAGAAATCTATGTAGAGATCAAATAGCCCATCTCTATGTCTATAAAATAACGCAGGACAACTGAAGTAAGGATGAAATACCAGTCCCCACCCCCCATTTAAAAAGATCTGTTATATGTCAACATGTTTTGTAATGATACGTGTTAAGTAAAAACTGTTCACCATTTTATAATGTGTGTCACATAATTTTATATCTAAGAGTTTATCCAATTTAGATGCTTTGTGTATCAAGTAGAAAAATCAGAAAGTATTGTCTACCCTTTTAGTCATGAACAAATAACTAGTCACCAAGAAAATCTTAATTTTGTTTTGGAAAATAAAATAGTTACTTACTCTGTCAACTCTATTACTTTACCCAAACAATTGAAAATTTTCTATGACAAAGTGGATGCATTTAAAAATGCAAAACACTGAAATTTGCATGAACAACTTATTAGTTTACCATCTTTTGCTTTGGAAAATAAAATCAGGAAACCTAAATGGGTCACAGAACAGAGTGGTTTTGTTGAAAAGCAGGAAGAGATAAAATGTCTGTAAATGAGACATGGCTGAGGCTGGTCAGTACATAAAGTAAATACATTGCACTTACTGGTAATGACTGAGTTGATCCTAGAAGACAAAACAGTAGAATCGTAGTCTTCATGTTTCGATTTGCTACCTATAAGAACAAAATTGTGTTACTCTTTCACTTTTTTTTTTTTACCCTTTGAGAGAAGATGACGCTTAAAAATGATCATTCTACTTGCAATCTGGTCAAGTAATGTTACCTTTGTGCTACCAGGCAAAATGATATTCAAAATCCAGATGACTTCTCCACTTTACTCTGGTGCAAAATTTGTCTTTTGCTGATTTGTGTTTGTAGAAGGAATTTAAGCTCAACTACAGAAGACAGGCAACCTGAAAGACCAATCAGGGCGAAACTGTCTGTGAAATCATTTGGTTTCATTTCCCAACACTTCATTAGGTGGGTTATTAGCTGCAGACATTATATTACCCAACGTCTATGGTTTGACTGGAGGGTATTTTAGGGAGACATGCCTGTATAATTTTAAAAACTGCAGACAACAACAATAAAAAAGACAGTTGTCTTCACTTCCAACTCTTTTGCAAAATATTTTGTGAATTTACTGGTTTTATCAGATAAGAGTGAGCAAATACCTCAAACACCAAAATATGGAGTTCTCTCTATACTTTACAAAAAGTCTATTATATATATATTTCTTTATAACCTAACTTATTTCCTTGATTAATAATGAACTTTGTGTGTCAGTGCACATAGATCAATTTTGTTTATTTAATGTTTAAATTGTATTACACTTTCTTCTTGATGTATAGATAATCTGTTATCATTTTATGTTTTTAAAATTATAAGCATATTACAACAAACATCTTCATAACATATTTCTTACATAGGTAGCAGTATTTCTGTAGATGTTACTGCTAGGAATATTGAAAAAGACACAAACATCTACAATTTCAATGAATATGGCAATATTGCCTCTAAGAATGGTTGAAAAATTTGCATGATTTCAAATAATGAAAAAGATGATGTGTTATTAGCCAAAGACAGGAATCTGCTGAGGTTTCTGTCACAAGATGTACAGTTCACACCTACCCACAGACTTCCAGGGCTTGGTCTTCAGACCAGGCCAGGGCCACTCACTATTATCTGAAATGAAATCAAGGATGAATCTGTCTGTTGGAGTTTCGTACTGAAGACCATGTGACATCCAGCGTCATCTTTTCTTCAGCATGGACTGTCTATTGATGGAAAATTGGCTGAGGTGAGGAGTCGTTTGCCTCAGTTTTCCTCCAACAACTCTACTCATTTACTGATGACTGTCAGATAATCTGTTAGGAATGGAGGAACATTGTATTAGTGGCTAACAGTAATAACGTGTGTGGTAAGTGTAACAACAGAAGTGTGCAAAGTGCGAAGAAAAGCTTTTGATGGGGGGGGGGCAGGGAAGGCTTTATGGAGGAGATCACCCTGGAGGTGAGTTTTGAAGGATAGAAAGAAATTTATTAAAAAGTAAGGAGAGGGTGGGGAGATGGTGCCTGCCTTGTAAGTATGAGGACTTGAGTTTGAGTTTGGATCACCGGCACTCACATACACGCTGGGCACAGCCGCTTTTGTCTGTACCCCATAGGCTGTTGGGGCAGATCCCTGGAGCTTGTTAACCTACAGTCTAGCCAGTTGGTCAGCTCCAGGTTCAGTGCGAAATCCTGTCTTGAAAGGTAAGGTGGAGTGTGATGGAGAATGACATCCTACACTGACTTCTGACCTTCACATGAATGTACACACACACACACACACACACACACACACACACACACACACACACACATGCATATCCACATATACATCTGCACACCCCATATGAACACAGACATAGACACACACATGTACACATGTGCGCAAACGGAGAGAGATCAAATAAATCAGGTGGATTTGGAGAATAAATATGATGAACAAGGCAAGACATAGTAGGAAAAAAGTTAATACTGAGAGGACTAATGGAACATACATGCTTCAGGATTTGAAGGGAAGCAATTATTCGTGTGTGTGTGTGTGTGTGTGTGTGTGTGTGTGTGTGTGTATGCCTCTGTGCACTTCCTGCCAGTGTACAGTCTGATGAGCCATTTGACTGGCCCTTGAAGAAACTTCTTGGTTCTTATGTCCTTTCCCAGGCAAGTTCATATTATTGTTTTTGGATAAATTTATTTATATAAAACATCTAAAAATTGTGTATTTTGCCTGTATGTTTGTGTGCCATTGTGTATGCTGGTTCCAGCAGAGGCCAGAAGAGGGAATTGGATTCCTTGGAACTAGATTTATATATGATTGTGAAGTACCGTGTGTGTTGGGAATTGAACTTGGGTTTTCTGGAAGAGAAGTTAGTGCCCTTAATCACTGAGCCAACTCTTCAGCCCTAGTTAATTAATTTTCCTAACACACCACTTAACATATCACTCTGTATCCACCAATACTGCTTCAGTATCTGGATATAAAAATCCATCTTCCTTATGGAGCTTACATTTATTGGTAGGAGCACTAGACTTTCAAGCAGCTTCATAGTATGTGATAGACCCCCTACACTGCATATTCTACTACTCCCAGGTTTTATTTTAGGTTTATTTGCAGATCATTCTTTAATCTGTTTTTGTTTGTGCAGAGCAAGAATTGCGTTTCATGTCATTGCTGTCTCAGGGATTATGTGGGGAAACCTGTGTTCTATTTTTAGTCTAGAGTATGGCTCCAGTAAATAGCAAATTCAGCTGAATCACTGCCTCTGTCTGGGGCTCAGGTGATTCAGGGACCTCACAGTGAGTATATTACTTATTTCAGACATACCTCTAAACCTAAGCTGAAATGAGACATGCCCTAGCTGGGAAACTGAGTAGTCAGTGGGATTAGACTAAAACAAGCAGGCAACATTATGAGGGCTGAGTAATTTCATAGACAAGAAAATTTATGTCTGAAAGCAGATAACTCTCAACAATGTAATTATGGAATTTTGGTATCAAGAAGTACATACTATGAAAGGGGAAAATTTCTAAATTGTACCAAAGCAAGGTACATCAGTGTAAACAGATAATTATATTTCTGAAATTACTTAGGTATCAGGATTCACTAAAGGGTTTTATGAACTTCAAGTGATATCCTTTGCCTTAAAGGTCTAGGCACTTTGCAATTTTCTTTTTTATTGAGTTTAGTTTTATGTTTCTTTGGATTATGGGCCTTTTGAAACCCGTGGAGTCTATGTACCACGTTCTTAGAAAAATACATATATGACAATGAACATAATACATACCAGACAATGCTAAGAGTTTTGTAGGCCTAAGAGCCTAACAATGAAGACTTCCATGAAATCTTCAGTGTAAAGGAAACTTGATGGAATTCTCTTGTGGTTTGTGCATTCCCTCAACTTTATAGGAGTTTTCCATCAATAAATGTATTCTCTCCCCAACTCCACCATACTCAATGCATATAGGAAAAGCTGGAATTATCCAAGATACTGTTGAGGAAGACCAGTCCAAGAGGAGCTGTTCAGCAATGAGAGGAAAAGGCAGATTGGGAATCCTCTCTGGCTCCTTTTGTCAATGTCACAAGGATGTCAGGCTCATGAT